ACTGTTGTCACTGTTGTCACCGTTGTCACCATTGTCATTGTTGTCACTGTTGTCACTGTTGTCGCTGATGTCACTGCTGCCACGGTTGTCACGGTTGTCACCGTTGTCACTGTTGTCATCGTTGTTACCGGTTTCACTGTTGTCACTGTTGTCACTGTTGTCACCATTGTGACTGTTGTCACTGTTGTCACTGTTGTCACTGTTGTCACTCCTGTCACTGTTGTCACTGTGTTACCGTTGTTACTATTGTCACCGTTGTCACTGTTGTCACTGTATTCACCGTTTTCACCGTTGTCACAGTTGTCACTGTTGTCACAGTTGTCACAGTTGTCACTGTTGTCACCCTTGTCACTGTTGTCAATAGTAACAACAGTAACAACAGTGACAACAGTGACAAAAGTGACAACGGTGAAAACGGTGAATAAAGTGAAAACGGTGACAACGGTGACAATAGTGACAACGGTAACACAGTGACAACAGTGACAACAGTGACAACGGTCACAATGGTGACAACGGTGACAACGGTGACAACGATGACAACAGTGACAACACTTACAACGGTGACAACGATGACAACAGTGACAACGGTGACAACGGTGACAACGATGGCAGCAGTGACATCAGCGACAACAGTGACAACAGTGACAACAATGACAATGGTGACAACGGTGACAACAGTGACAACAGTAACAACGGTGACAACGATGACAACAGTGACAACCGTGACAAAAGTGACAAGAGTGAAAAAAGTGACAACAGTGACAACAGTAACAAGGGTGGCAGCAGTGAAAGCAGTGACAACAGTGACAACGGTGAAAACGGTGACAACAGGGACAACAGTGACAACGGTGACAACGGTGACAACAGTAACAACCGTGACAAGTCACAACAGCGACAACGGTGACAATAGGGACAACGGTGACAACAGTGACAACAGCGACAACAGTGAAAACAGTGACAACGATGAGAAAGGTGAAAACTGTGACAAGAGTGACAACAGTGACAACAGTGAAAACGGTGATAACAAAGACAACGGTGACAACGGTGACAACAGTGACAACGGTGACAACGGTGACAACAGTGACAATGGTGACAATGGTGAAAACAGTGACGACAGTGACAACAGTGACAACAGCGACAACAGCGACAACAGTGAAAACGGTGGCACAAGTGACAACGGTAACAAAGGTGACAACTGTGACAACGCTGACGAGAGACAACAGTGACAACGGTGAGAAAGGTGACAACGGTGACAACCGCAACAACACTGACAACAGTGGCAACGTTGAGTACAGTGAAAACGGTGAAAACAGTGACAAAAGTGACAACAGCCACAATAGTGACAACAATGACAACGATGATGACTGTGACAAAAGTGACAACAATGACAACGGTGACAATGGTGGCAACAGCGACAACAGTGACATCAGCGACAACGGTGACAACAGTGACAACAGTGACAACAGTGACAACGGTGACAACGGTGACAACTGTGACAAAGGTGACAACAGTGACAACGGTGACAAAGGTGACAACTGTGACAACGGTCACAACAGTGACAGCGGTGAGAACGGTGAAAAAGGTGACAACAGTGACAACAGTGACAACGGTGACTATGGTGACAACAGTGACAACATTGACAACAGTGACAACAGCCACAACAGTGACAACAATGACAACTGTGACGACTGTGACAAAGGTGACACGAGTGACAACAGTGACAATGGTGACAACAGCGACAACAGTGACATCAACGACAAAAGTGACAACGGTGGCACCAGTGATATTAGCGACAACAGTCACAATGGTGACAACAGCGACAATAGTGACAACAGCGACAACGGTGACAACAGCGACAATGGTGACAACAGTGACAACAGTGACAAAAGTGACAAACGTGACAACAGTGACAACAGTGACAACGGTTGCAGCAGTGACATCAGCGACAACAGTGACAACAGTGACAACGGTAACAACAGGGAGAACAGTGACAACGGTGACAACGGTGACAACAGTGACAACAGTGACAACAGTGACAAGTGACAACAGCGACAACGGTGACAATAGGGACCAGCGTAACAACAGTGACAAAAACGACAACAGTAACAACAGTGACAACAATGGCAACGATAAAAAAGGTGACAACGGTGACAAGAGTGACAAGAGTGACAACAGTGACAACGGTGACAACGAAGAAGACAGTGACAACGGTGACAACAGTGACAACGGTAACAACAATGACAACAGTGACAAAGGTGAAAACGGTAACAACAGTGAAAACGTTGACAACAGTGACAACAGTGACAACGGTGACAACGGTGACAAAGGTGACAACAGTGACAACGGTGACAACGGTGACAACAGTGACAACAGTGACAACGGTGACAAAGGTGACAATGGTGACAACGGTGACAACAGTGACAACAGTGACAAGTGACAACAGCGACAACGGTGACAATAGGGACCAGGGTGACAACAGTGACAAAAACGACAACAGTGACAACAATGGCAACGATGACAACGGTGACAAGAGTGACAACAGTCACAACAGTGACAACGGTGACAACGAAGAAGACAGTGACAACGGTGACAACAGTGACAACTGTGACAACAATGACAACAGTGACAACGGTGACAACAATGACAACAGTGACAACGGTGACAACGGTGACAACGGTGACAACGGTGACAACGGTGACAACAGTGACAACAGTGACAACGGTGACAACGATGACAACAGTGAAAACGGTGACAAGGGTCACAACAGTGACAATGGTGACAAAGGTGACAACGGTGACAACACTGACAACAGCGACAACGGTGACAACATTGACAACAGTGACAACGGTGATAACGGTGACAACTGTGACAAAGGTGACAACAGTCACAACGGTGACAAAGGTGACAACAGCAACAATGGTGACAACAGCAACGATTGTGACAACAGCAACAACGGTGAAAAAGGTGACAATAGTGACAACGGTGACAACAGTGACAACGGTGACAACCGCGACAACGGTGGCACCAGTGACAACGGTGACAAAGGTGACAAAGGTGAGCACTGTGACAACGGTGACAACGGTGACAACAGTGACAACAGTGACAATGGTGACAAAAGTGACAACAGTGACAACGGTGACAACGGTTAAAGCAGTGACAACGATGACAACGGTGACAACGGTTACAACGGTGACAACAGTAACAACAGTGACATCGGTGAAAACAGTGAGAACGGTGACAACGGTGACAACAGTGACAACAGTGAAAACAGTGGCAACGGTGACAACAGTAACAACGATTCCAGCAGTGTCATCAGCGAAACAGTGACAACAGTGACAACAGTGAAAACAGTGACAACGGTGACAACAGTGACAAGAGTGACAACAGTAACAACAGTGACAACAGTGAGAACGGTGAGAACAGTGACAACGGTGAAAACATTGAGAACAGTGACTACGGTCACAACTTTGACAAAGGTGACAATAGTCACAACGGTGACAAAAATGACAACAGTGACAATGGTGTTGTAACTGTTGTCGCTGATGTCACTGGCGCCATTGTCGTCGCTGTTGTCACTGTTGTTGCTGTTGTCACTTGTGCTACCGTTATCACCAATATCACCATTGTAACTGTTATCACCGTTGTATCCGTTATCACTGTTGTCACCGTTGTCACTGTTGTCACCGTTGTCACCAATGTCACCTTTGACACCGTTGTCATCTTTGTCACTGTTGTCACTGTTTTCACTGTTGTCACTAGTGTCGCTGATGTCAATGGTGCCACTGTTGTCGCTGTTGTCACCGTTGTAACCGTTGTCACCGTTGCCATCTTTTTCACCGTTGTCACCTTTGTCACTGTTGTCACTTTTGTCACTGTTGTCACCGTTGTCACCGTTGTCACTGTTGTCATATTTTTCACCGTTGTCACTGTTGTCGCTGTTTTCACCTTTGTCACTTGTTGTCACTGTTGTCACCATTGTCACTGTTGTCACTCTTGTCACCGTTGTCATTATTGTCACCTTTGTCACCATTGTGGCTGGTGTCACCATTGTCGCTGTTGTCACCATTGTCACTGTTGTCACCTTTGTCACCGATGTGACTGTTGTCACCTTTGTCACAGTTGTCACCATTGTCAAAGTTGTCAATGTTGTCACCGTTGTCACTGTTCCCACTGTTCTTACTGTTGTCAGCCTTGTCTCTGTTGTCACCGTTGTCACTCTTGTTACTGTTGTAACCGTTGTCACTGTTGTCACGGTTGTCACCGTTTCGCTGATGACACTGCTGCCATCGTTGTCACTGTTGTCACCGTTATCACTGTTGTCACTGTTTTCACTGTTGTCACCGTTCTCACCGTTCTCACTGTTGTCACTGCTGTCACTATTGTCACTGTTGTCACCGTCATCACCATTGTCACAGTTGTCTCTCTTGTCACCGTTGTCACTATTGTCACTTTTGTCACCGTTGTAAACGTTGTCACTGCTTTCACCGTTGTCACCGTTCTCACTGTTGTCACCGTCATCACCATTGTCACTGTTGTCTCTCTTGTCACCGTTGTCACTGTTGTCAATTTTGTCACCGTTGTAAACGTTGTCACTGCTTTCACCGTTGTCACCGTTCTCACTGTTGTCACCGTTGTCACTGGTGTCATCGTTGTCACCGTTGTCACCATTGTCACTGTTCTCACAGTTGTCACCGTTGTCATCGTTGTCAATGTTGTCACTGTTCTCACCGTTGTAACTCTTGTCACTGTTGTCACCGTTGTCACTGTTGTCTTCGTTGTCACCATTGTCACTGTTGTCACTCTTGTCGTTGTTGTCATTGTTGTCACCTTTGTCATCGTTGTCACTGTTGTCACTGTTGTGACTTGTCGCTGTCTTCACTTTTGTCACCGTTGTTGCCCTTTGACACTTGTCACTGTTGTCACCGTTGTCACCATTGTGACCGTTGTCACTGTTGTCACCGTTGTCACTGTTGTCACCGTTGTTACTGTTGTCACTGTTGTCACTGTTGTCACCGTTGTCACCATTGTCATTGTTGTCACTGTTGTCACTGTTGTCGCTGATGTCACTGCTGCCATGGTTGTCACGGTTGTCACCGTTGTCACTGTTGTCATCGTTGTTACCGGTTTCACTGTTGTCACTGTTGTCACTGTTGTCACGGTTGTCACCGTTGTCACTGTTGTCATCGTTGTTACCGGTTTCACTGTTGTCACTGTTGTCACTCCTGTCACTGTTGTCACTGTGTTACCGTTGTTACTATTGTCACCGTTGTCACTGTTGTCACTGTATTCACCGTTTTCACCGTTGTCACAGTTGTCACTGTTGTCACCCTTGTCACTGTTGTCAATAGTAACAACAGTAACAACAGTGACAACAGTGACAAAAGTGACAACGGTGAAAACGGTGAATACAGTGAAAACGGTGACAACGGTGACAATACTGACAACGGTAACACAGTGACAACAGTGACAACAGTGACAACGGTCACAATGGTGACAACGGTGACAACGGTGACAACGATGACAACAGTGACAACACTTACAACGGTGACAACGATGACAACAGTGACAACGGTGACAACGGTGACAACGATGGCAGCAGTGACATCAGCGACAACAGTGACAACAGTGACAACAATGACAATGGTGACAACGGTGACAACAGTGACAACAGTAACAACGGTGACAACGATGACAACAGTGACAACCGTGACAAAAGTGACAAGAGTGAAAAAAGTGACAACAGTGACAACAGTAACAAGGGTGGCAGCAGTGAAAGCAGTGACAACAGTGACAACGGTGAAAACGGTGACAACAGGGACAACAGTGACAACGGTGACAACGGTGACAACAGTAACAACCGTGACAAGTCACAACAGCGACAACGGTGACAATAGGGACAACGGTGACAACAGTGACAACAGCGACAACAGTGAAAACAGTGACAACGATGAGAAAGGTGAAAACTGTGACAAGAGTGACAACAGTGACAACAGTGACAACGGTGATAACAAAGACAACGGTGACAACGGTGACAACAGTGACAACGGTGACAACGGTGACAACAGTGACAATGGTGACAA